GCCGTTACTCCCAACGCTGTAGGGACGCACAGCCTGTGACGTAAGCACGTTGTGTCACACTGAAAAGAATCTTTTTACATTACATTTTTTGTAATCGAGTTACTCGAGGAATCGTTGCAGCCCTCGTCTCTTGCGTGCTTCACAGTATCTCTGTAATCATATTGGCTTTAAAGGTTTAAAGGCAGAGCTAAGTGGTGTCTCCGATACAGAGTTTTCTCTCTCGTTTAGAGGGAATGAGCAACCCTGTATTTGTACATATTCCTCTGTACATCCTTTTTCTACATTTCACTTCCCTTAAAATCTAAACTGCCAAAAAAATGTCCTGTGAAATTACGATTTCATAAAGAGCTGAGTCAGTAACAGCTGCTCATTATAGTGTATCAATTATCAGAAAGGATTTGGACTTCTGATGTGAATCAGAATTAAAAAGTATGCGTACACTGTTTTAAAAAAAAGAAATAGATAAGCTAAACAAAAATAAAACATATGAATTGTACTATTATATTCATATAATTAGGTGTATACATATAAAAACCAACAATGACAAACATACAAAGTGAAGTGTTTCTGTGATCTATGATAAATGATGTGTTTAGGGAGAGAAATATACATTTTGAATTGTAAAATGTAACATTTAGGTAGTTTATAAACAGAAGCTTTAGCTAAACTAACTTTAGTTAAACATGGGAAAGTAATAAAACGTGACAAATAAAGAAGTTTTTTTGTTCAAACAGGAGTAATTACACAGACCGGAGTCAAGAACAGAAAGGAGAACTAACAATAATTGGGTTTTGTTTCTGCAGAATGTGCCGACCATCGGGATCTCTGCACTGAATTTAGCCAGCCTGCTGTGTGACGAGGTCAGCCTGGCGGGCTTCGGCTACACCCTCTCCCAGCAGGGGGCGCCACTGCACTACTACGACCACCTGCTCATGGACAGCATGCTGCAGGAGACCTCGCACAACGTGAACAGAGAGACCGAACTCCTGCGAAGCCTCGTCACACAGGGGGCGTTCACCGACCTGACGGGGGGATTCAGTGCTCCTTCTGCCACAGCTGATCCTTTTAAGTCCTTTTAAAGAACAAATGAAACACTGCGCAAAAATGCAGAAAAGCAAACTTACTTACAAAGACTTACAAATATGTGATAAGAAAGGAAAGAAGAACAGGTGAGAGGAAAGCTGAGATGGGTCGAGCTGCAGTCCTCTCTCCTGCCGGTAGGAGTGAGATCTGTTCTCAACAAATGTTTAACGCGAGAAATAAGCTGCCCGGTTGCTGAATCTTAACTCACGTCTGCACAACTGCACGGCAGGTGTTTTGGTCTTAGAGGTGGCCGTGTCAGCTGGTGGCTTTCCAGGTTACCATGGATGCGCGGCAGTTACCGGTGGTAACCCACGGTATCGGCAGATGTTGAAAACACGGACAGAGCTCTAGAGTTAAACGTCCCAATAAATATTCATCTTCTGATGTGGGGGGCTTGAGTTTGGGCCACTTTCCGATGGAGGATAATGCTATTAAAACACTTTGGCCTACAGATTGTTTTACGACAGGTGAACGAGTCTTATACAATTTAACTTCATGTTTAGCACAGATACAAACACAGAAGAGTGTATTTAAAAGTGAATAAGGTAAATTAAAGGAGCACAAGTACGTGTTCTGTTCGTGTTTTTCAACAGCTGCCTGAAAGTCACCAGACATAATATATATTGGCTATAATTATATCTTTTGAACTATATGATCTGGCGTTTGACTTCTGAAAGAAAAGAAGATAATTCCTCCAACCAACAGAGGGGGGCGATAGTGCCTGAGGAGAGAGGTCTGAGGTGCTGCAGTTTGACTCTTTTGACACAAAGTGCTTCTTAAAGGACACAAAAACAGAAAGTAACATGGGTACCTACCTGCAGCTCTGTAATATAGCCTTTAGTCAGTATTTATATGTATTTATATATATATGTATAAGGTTATTCTGCTAGCAGCAGTTTCATTCATCTTACCCACATGACTTTTTTTGGCTTTATGAAGATATTCAACGTATTACCGGACCAACAATCATGGACCCCATGTGTTAATAGTATTAATACACAGATAGCTCACACACTTCAAAGGTAACACAACACTGTCTGCTAGTAGTGTCAGTTAAAGTCTGCACATTAAACCGAACCGAACCGATTCACTGCTTATAAAGACACTTTGTAGTTCAGTTTGTTCAGATGTATTCAGCTCGTTATATCGTTTACGCTCACGCTGCAACAAACCGATCGGTATTTAAAATTGTCAGTCCGAGACATCTTTAACGTTTCTGAAGCAGGCTTCTAGTAGTTGAGGCTTAACATATTAACGGTTTAATCTTTACGTTTTAAACGGTGCTAGAAATGTTTGCCAGCACATTTGATCATTCCACTGGAGATTAGTTTTACAATTCCTTTAGTTCTTTCTGTGGTTTCAGTGGGGCCAGTTTCCGTGCTGTCTTCCAAAATGGTTCGTCTGTGAAAAATACTGCACAATGTGTTATTTATAAATTGTGTTTTGTTTTTTATTTATTCCTGATTAATATAATTTGCACTGTTTGTTTGTATTCACTTAATCTCTTGAGTTGCCACAACAATCGGTTTCTCCTTCAAAGGAGATAGGTCTCGTGTTTAGATTAAAATATCTGAGCTACTGGTTAAAAACATGAGTCACGTGCCCATTTTGAATGTCAATTTAACACAGTTCTCCAAGAAATGTAGTCTTTTTAAAATGTACACTGGTACGTATCTGCATGAGTCTTACTGCTGTATGTGTTAAATAAAACCTGACAGACTGAATCTGTATCATGCAGCTTTCTTTTATTTCTTTATTGTTCTGCTTTTGGAGCTTGTTGTTATTACATTTGACGGAGATGGATGCATTATTAGACAGTGGCTAATTGAGCGGTTGTAAAGGAATGAGTACTCATTATTTCATTCAACTGGAAACAGTTTAGATTTAAAGAGCATCTCCCATTTATGTCTTTTTAACAAGTTTAGAAAAGGAACATTATTCCTTTATATGTGCCTCAAGCAATTCATGTATTTTCCAAAGTGTAAAGAGTGCACACAGGCCTGGACTCTCCCGGTTAGATATTTCTGCCACTCAGTAACTCAGAGACAGACTGAGACAGTGCAGTCTCTGTCCTACACACACTGTCGGGACTGGTTTTATGGTTGAATAACACATAAACAGATTCAGAAATCATTTATTTTCGCCCATTATGAAGCAATGAATGTGTGCTCAATGCCTTAAAGATCTCATACTATCAGTTCTTTCATACCCCACACTCTACTAGCTGTATTCTCACCGGAAATCAGCCATTTCCCCTTCAAAATAGAGTACAGGGTCAAAATACACCCTGCGAGGACTACAATTGCTTTCCAGTGTGCTTAAAAACCCTTCCTGATTTAACATCTTATGCACTCTAGCGTCGTTTAGTCCTACAGAAAGTTATGTAAATACAGCGGATTTTATTTTGAAAATCCTGGCAGGAGGTTGAGCTTTGTAACGCCACGCGTGGAGAGGAACAAGGAGCCGGGGACATCTGCTGCTAACAGGTGGGGAGCCCTTAAACAACGCACTTATTGTTGCTTTATTCATAATGGACTCAGTCATAATGTGATTGCTCGTTGTTACACCGCATGGTAAACTAAAAGAAACAGACAAATATTGCATAAGAAGCTGTTTCTGTGGTATGGAAATAAAAGCTCCCGCCGAACTCTATTCAAAAATCTGGCTGTTTTATGGGAACTTATCTTGTTAGTGCAAAAAGAGGAATACTGGTGACTGAAAATGACTGAAATGTGCCTAATGCTTTTGTTCTGGGCGCTTTTTGAATTCGGCAAATTTATAAAAAACATTTATCATTATATAATCTGGCTTTATCTTAAAAACTGGACACACTGCAGTGTTAATCCACTAACACTGCACTGTGAGGTTAACCAGCTGCAGTTATCATCTAATGGTTGACTTTCATTTGATGAGGGTTAAAGTGTAAAAACAATGGCTTCAGTCAAATCTAAAGGATTCTATGCAAGTTGTCTTTTTCAGAAAAATGTATGAATAAAAAATAGTATTATTATTATTATCATTATCATCATCATCTTCCACTGCAGTCAGGAGGTTGAGCATAAAGTTTAAAGTCTAACCACAGCGAGTTGTTGTAGATTAACTACCAGTTCTGCATGGACTCGTATATTCTGATGTGTGTGTGTGTGTGTGTGTGTGTGTGTGTGTGTGTATTCACGCATTGAACAGTGTTAATAGCCTGTAGGGTCAGTGTGCATGGCAAACATCAGGCAGGTGGACAGACTGGGTAAAAGGCTACTGGAGGGATATTTTGGCACAATGTAGGTTTTGAGGTGAAAGGTGACTTGTCTCTGATTGGCTCACATCCATGAACCCACCCTACTTTCATTGGTTCCTTGGTATGCAACCCCCCCCTTCTGTAGTACAACTCTGCTCCCCCCACTTCCTCTCTCTCTCTCTCTTCTCTCTCTCTTCTCCTCTCTCTCTCTCTCATCTCTCCATCTCTCTATCTGTGGTTATCCCATCCAGGGTTTTGACCAGTGTGGGTGGAGCAGCCTATAGTAAAAGAGGATCACGTGCTTCACACACAACAGACGTGCAGAAAACCGCTGGCAATCTTTTGTGTTTGTACGGTGTCTCGAGTGCCATTAGAGGCCGGCCTTTTAAATAAAATGTATTATATTATTATATTATTATCTCTAATAATAGCAAAACCAACATCAATTATGGCAGCAGCTGAAGAAATTTTCATTATTTTTGTAAAAATCTAAAGCTGCAGTTCGGTAACTTTTATATAAACCACTTTTTGTCATTTTGCTGAAACGTTCACTATATCCTGACAGTAGTACATGGGAGGACGGTTCCTCCGGCTCGTCCTAGTGCTCCTAATGGCGTTTGCAAGAATCCACCAGGCCCGGACGAAACAAACCAATCAGAGCTGATAAAGATGGAAAGATGCTTTGGGTTGGTGGCTTGAAGACAGTTGATTGTTGAGTCTCATTCCCGGCATCAATATTTGACAACCACGCTTGCAAATGTCATTAGGAGCACTAGGACGAGCCAGAGGAACCTGAAGCCTCGTGTACTGTTGGCAGGATATCGTGAAAGTTTCAGCAAATATAATAAAAACTTTTTTTAATTACTTACTGCAGCTTTAATATTAGATAATTAATGGATTTGATTTTGGATAGTTTTAAGTCTTTGGGCCTCAAACAGAGACTTTTCCTCTAAAACCTCAGATGGTTTGAGAGGAAAAGTCTCTCTGGTGAAACTACTAACAACTCATATAAAAGGTTGGTAGCCCCTGATGTAATTTTTAACAATGCATTGTATTTTATAAAGTGCTTCAACCAACCAGTATTCCTACACTGGAATACGACCCAACCTCAGGTTAGCTGTATTTCAGTTCATTTATATCATAATAATGTCTATCCTAAAATAACTGAAATGTTAAAGGTATTAAAACTACATTTTGACACTATAAAGTACAGAAAATGTTATCTTTATTTGTTCCTTTTGTCACTCTCACTCACTCAGACTGATCAAGTTAAGATATATTATCACCGACTAAGTAGAGATGCGTGTGTGATACCACATACCAAACAAATGTACATTTATGTATGTACATTTGTATGTATGATAGTGATGTATGAAAAAGAAACACATTAACGTCCGTTCCTGATTAGATTTTTTTAGCAGTTTGGGACATTTTATGGATCAAACCATTAAATATTGTAAACACAGACCCAGTATGGAAGAAACAACTGAGTCAACAGGACAGTTTCCTCTCCATACTGCAGTTTTTCCTTTGATCAGCCTCTATCTCTCTCTGTCTAATCATCTCAGCTGACCACACAGGGGTTATAGGTCACTGGGGGAAAGGTAAGGGGACTGAGCAACTGCTTGAACCTGGCCATTGAAAGCCACTCAGCTCGGGAAGTCAGATTTCTATTTGTGTCTAATAGAATGTAGAGTAAGACTGACGATACATATGTTGATGCACAATGCAGATGATTGGTATTTGATTGCATTTTGTAATAGCAGTTAGATTAAACCCAGACTCTCGATGATATGCTCCAGCCCTGTGTCATTGATCTTGTCAAGGGAAAAGTTCATTGATTGTTTACATCAAGTCTTTGAGTCAATCAGACCGACCGTCTTGCCGCAGCCAGCCAATGGGAGCCCTCCCCGGAGCCAGCGCGACCTTTGATTGGTAGATTATCCGGGGGTTTACACATCATCTTGTAACAGAATCTGTGCGAGTGTTTGGTGCCGGTAGTATATGAGTGCATCCCCCTGTGTTAAAGCAGAGTGTGGCGGTTGCTGTAGCAGCAGTAACAACAGCAGGTTCGCTGCCATTGGATGTTCAACTGAAAAAGGAAAGCCACAGTCGCACCTCACTACTTCTCTGTCGCAGGTGAGTGGGGAAGAAATTGGATAGGAATAGGAAAGAACACTGAGAAATAGCTTTGCATTGTGCTTATAGAAGGTGGAGGCGTCTGTCTGTGTGCAAAACCTTGACAGTAGATGGCAGGCCTAGTCTTGTACAGGCTTTCCAGCCTAGAAGGTTGTTTGCCAGTAACCTTTGACTCATAATTAGAGCAAACCTGCCATAAGACTTTGAGGCCATGGCAGAGATGATTTGTGGAAATTGCGTGCAGTCGAACACATTCCCTTCTCACTGTGATGCTTCTTCTGAATTCTTCTGAAATGGCTTTAAGTACATTAACCTTTGAATCGTAGTCTATATCGGCTCATTTGTGAAGGTCATGTCTGATGTGTTTTATAAAAAGTGTGTTGTTTTTTACTTGTAACCATTAAACACAGATTACAAACTAGAACTGAGTATTGTAAGGGAAGTGTTGTTTAATTCATAAGAACCTTAAAAACACACCTCTGCCCAGTTCAGTACACTGAACACAGCTTATGGTGGCTGATGTCGGGTAATGTGACAGTATGACTCTCTGCTTGTGCTATAAATGATTTGAAAAATGTTATTCACTTACAGATGTTACATTGTGTGTAATCATTAGACCACTGGCTCTCAAACTATATGAATCTCTGAAATATATTTTTAATGAAATCATTTCATTTCAAGACATACACTATCAAAATTTAAATGAAAATAGCCTGTTTAAACTATGAAATTGATGACGTTTTTAATTTCGTTTTAATATCAAAGCCACATTCATGAATTTAAGCGTGCATAGATTCATGATTACATACGAGCTAAAATGTGATAGTAAGTGTAGATAAAACGAATGGTTCAAAAACATTGCAATCATGGCTCCAAACGGGAACTATTGGGAAGAGAAGTGTGGACCAGGATTTCCAACAAATTAGCTTTGATTCTTGAACCGGTTCTGTTTCAGGATTCAACAACAGTCAACAATAAATAATCATCTTATTAAGAATAACTGTCCGTAGTCCTGAATGTGGCCAACCTACGCTGCTGTATTTTAATGTCTTTCATAGTGGTGGCACAAAGAAAGCCTAATATTTTCTGAGATGGCATGCGGTGTAAAAGAAATTGAGAAACACTGTATTAGACAAGTAAAACTGAAGCACCCAAATCCTCTTTGTGAAACTATATCATTGCTAACAAGGGAAGATTCATGTGACGTACTTTTTACCTCTAAACCGTCATCATCAGTGAATATTCATTCCAGTGAAGTGAGGACTGATGCTAACAGATTAGTGCTCCCTTGTGGCTGCCATTTGCTTGCTATGGATTACTGACTTTTATCTTCTAAAAGTACAACTTGGTCTTGATATGATCAGTGTTGATCCTCAGTTTGTTGCGTTAACTCGGAATCTGGGCCTAAGGTCGTTGTTTCCATCCTTCACATGGAGACCTGTCCCTGTGTTCTCACCTAAAGACCTCAGACTCTGTTTCTAATGAGTTTACTCTCAAACAGCTTTTCCAGTCAGTCATCATTTGTCTGCGTGTTTGTTACAACACTAAGAACCTCACCCATGTTAAACCGAACACACATACCATGGGAACCTGGCACACCTGCTAAACTCGCCCAGAGAGAATCTGTTCAATGACATATGATCTAATTACACTGCAATATGAACCACAGCTGAACAACACTGCTCCACAGTAGTAGCAGCAGAGTGCCTGAGGTTTCTGTACATCCAGCCAAGTTTTGCTTTCGAGTTCAGTTGACTCAGATGGCCTGGACTCTCAACTCTCTTACATCTTGGTGTCAGATGTTACCCACTAACCTAAAAGGGGAAGAATATTGCACTGTACATGAAATTATTTGCAGAGACAGGTACAATTACAACATGTCATAGTCCCAACTCCCCAAAAGAGGAATGATACTGCCTTTGGGGATCCCCTGACCTTTCCAAAATGAATACAGTTCCCTTCAGCCTAACCCGTACTGTGCGTTATTTTTTCAGGTTAACTAAGCTGGCAAAGCTGGTGAATATTACTTGTAAAAAACCTCCAATAGTTACAGATGAAGAATACTTTTTTAAATGTAATGTAATTTTCTTGCTTTCCTCTAGGTCCCCTCCCGGCCTGCATCCCTAAACACACTCCTTCCTATAACACACACACACTCCTAACCTCACTTCAGGGCCAGCAGAGAGTGCTCAGTATTATCAGACACACCCTGCTGTCACCATTCCAGCCTTACATTGATCTAACGCACACACACACACACACACATTTATCACTCCACCCACGTACACACACACACACAAACAGGCAGCACCATGATGAGCAAGGAGTTCTTTCAGAAGTTGGGGTTGCCAGATCTGAATGAAGTCAGCCAGTACATCAAGAGCGCCTCCACTCCCATGTTAGTCAGCATGGGGGCAGTGGCTGTCGCGACAACCTACTACCTGGCAACACGACCCAAAGCCCTCCCACCAGTCTGCGACCTCCGCATGCAGTCGGTTGAAGTTCCGGTAAGTTTACATGCTTTCGTCTGTCTGTCAGAGTCAAGCATCCAAAGCACTGCTAATTATAAAGTCCAGACTTTAACATAAAAGTCATCCCCCCTTCAAGGTTGAACCGTGTAGATCTAGGCATAATTAGTTCTACATAGCCGGGCTGTTGCTGACAATACGGCATTGAATGAAAGGCTTATGAATGATAAAGCTATAACCAGAACTAAAGCCAGATAGTCTTGTTGCAGTGTCAAGAACAACTTTACAGCAACAACCCCAACTCTTGGTGTGCCTCCTGAAAAATGGGTGGGGTGTACAGTCCAAACAACTGCTCCAGTCAAAGAGGCAATCTTAGTACTCACTGAACAGACAAACGCCCCGAGTAAACTACTACAAACAAAGTGGTACAGTAAGTCCAGTAGCAGGACGAGCCCCCATTTTGTCACAGCGAACGCTCAGCTGGCTAGATAACGAGGCTGATGACACAGGATTTAAAGTATTATAACCAATGTTTTACTTACTAATTAGGCAAAATTAACTTAAAGAGAAAAATCTATTAGCAGAAATGGAATATAATGTTTATGTTGTTACTTTAGAATGAGCTGTTTATCTACAGAGTCTGCCATGTTGAACCGCCATGTTACTACAGTAGCCCAGAACGGACAAACCAAACACTGGATCTAGTTGGGGCCACAAGTTACATGGCCACTGTAGTTTGTCCTACACACTTGGAAAAGGAGGGTGAGGCGAGGGCATTGCTATCAGAAACTTCACTGCTTGATGCCACTAAATCCTACACTCTGGGCCTTTAGCTAATATGAATCGATATTCAGAGAAGCCAGCTTACGTTACCTGTTTAGTTGTACATCTTTGGAGCACAAAGTCCAACAAGCCATAGCTGTGGAATTAAAGAGTCACTACCTCATAAAATGGAGTTGTTCAGAAATGGAAAATATGCGTCTTGGTTTGAGATCATGGTCTACAGGGTCTTGAAACTTGAGTAAATCGCTGCGTTGATAAAGAAAATGTCAAAAAGGAAATGAAATCTTTTTTTTTAGGGACAGTAACTTGCCTTAAAAAAACTCTTAACACACTGTAACAGTAAATGTTTCTATCTCTTATTCATAGATATTTCATAGATACATTTTGTATATTATCAATACACGCACGAAATGTGCCGAAAATATGTGTAAAATACTGCAGTTATATGTATATATTTGCTAATCATTTTATCCCACTAAATCTGTAAAATCACTCATGTGAAATAAAGTAAAAATATTTTTTGTTCTCAATCTCTGCTCGCCAGAAAATCTACCACACTGTAACTGTATGTGAATTAAATATTCAAGCAGGAGTCAAGAGACTGACAATGACAGTAGGATGAGTTGTAGCTCTGATAACCCACATGTGTTTCTTTATCAGGGCGGAGAGTTGGCACGCCGATCAGTTATGCTGAATGGAGACGGTCCCTTGACACATTTCTACGATGATGCCACAACAATGTATGAGTTCTTCCTCAGAGGGGCCCGAGTCTCCAGTAAGTCACATTTGTTAATGTGATTTTGAATGTATATATTTTTAGTTGTAGAGTTCCTCAGAATCTAGTCCTGTAAGCCTTACATGGGGTTTAAACTTAATGCGGCTGATACCCTGCCACTACAGGAAACTACACTAAGACATAAACAGCACCATTTACTTAAATTTCCACTTTCTTTTTTTTCTTCTTTTATTCTCTCCCCCCTCTCTGTTGCTTTCCTTTTATCCTCAAGATAATGGTCCCTGTCTGGGCTCCAGGAAACCAAAGCAGCCCTATGAATGGATGTCCTACAGAGAGGTAAGAGTCTTATAAAACACATGGCCTCCAGCTTGACAGCAGTAGAGCTACAGGTTGCAGGCGACACAAATATCACCGTGTGGGTTGTCCATGTGTTTATGTTTGAATTTAGTTTCTAAAGTAGCTTATTTAAAGCACTTACAAGAAACTTGGATTCAATAATCTGTCTCTTGTGAGTCCTCCAACCCTGCGGAAGAGCAATAATAGATTGCCTAATTACCCCTTAAAGTGTGAAAGTCATTAAATTAGAGCTATTCTGTTTCTGTAAGCTCCAGAGGAGCTAAAAAAAACAACAGGACTGCGTGTAATATTTAACTCTATTATCAGTAACATATAGCCTTAATAACCAACTCCCCATTGTTTTGATGTAAACAAGAATCATTTTTTAAACAAACAGAATAAAGAGGCTACTTAATTATCTACCCATTCAGTTTTTGTGTTACAGTCAAGTGTGCTAAATGCTCTTAATGTGCATTAAATCTGTTCCATTATGTTCTCTGAGTTTATCATTTTAAACCTCTGTATAATATCCCTTTAATGTTTCTGTAAAGAGGTTTTAGTGACTTAACAATGACCATAGCATATTTAAAACGTGCTTCTTATCACTGGCAGCACTATAATATTTCAACAGGGAAGAGATTTGTTGGCCAATTGTTTGATAGTAAAACATTAATTCAGCTTGAACACGATTGGTAAAATATTAATGAAGCATTCCAGCACGCCCGAGTGAACACTGTGTGCTGAGGCTGAATACGCCGGTTAAAGGACCAGTGTGTGTAGGATTCAGTGGCATCCAGCGGTGTACCAACTGAATACCACTCGCCCTCCAAGCATGTAGGAGCAATTACAGTGGCCGTGAAACTCGTCCTAAATGTTACACACTGGACCTTTTCACTGCCGTTAAAAACCAGTAACTAATGACATTAAGCTGTGATAGTAACAGCATGTGATTGTTTGATATTGCTTTAATATTGAAAATCATAAACAGTTAATATCCCCTGTGTGTGTGTGTGTGTGTGTGTGTGTGTGTGTGTTAGGTAATGGAGCGGACGGAGAATCTGGGTTCAGCATTTCTTCACAAAGGACACTCCAAGACCAGCGACTCTCACATTGGCATCTTCTCTCAGAACAGACCGGAGGTACACACACACGTTCCCTTTACCCATAATGCACGATTGCCAGAATTTATGCCAACATTATACCCACATATATCATATACACGCACATTTTTACATTCAGTTTGACCATTCATCAAGTATCATTATACTTCCTGTTTACATCTTTCAAAGCATTGTGGGAACTGTAGTTTCAGAACCTAAAGCATGATTATCTTATTAAGTAAGACGACAAATAATAATATGCTATAGAGATTTGGTCAAAAATGATATCAGTACTGACATTAATCTGGTAATAACTGCGTCACCTAGACACAATAAATTGATTATCCTTTAATGCTCATTTATGTGTGTGTGTGTGTGTGTGTGTGTGTGTGCGCGCGCAGTGGACCATCAGTGAGCTGGCTTGTTACACATATTCTCTGGTGTCAGTCCCTCTGTACGACACACTGGGAACAGAAGCCATCGCCTACATTATAGACAAAGGTAAACCTGAATAACATTACTGCATACACATCAGTGTTGTTGTTGTTGTTGTTGTTGTTGTTGAACGTCCGTCAGCATGTGTTTGCTTGTTGTGTCGGCAGCTTCCATCTCGACGATAGTGTGCGACGTGGTGGATAAAGTCAACCTGGTACTGGACTGTGTTAAGGACAAGGAGCACTCTGTGAGAACCATCGTTCTAATGGAGGCCCCCAGTGCCGACCTGGTCAACAGGGGCCAACAGGCTGGAATCCACATCCTCAGCCTGCAGGAGATGGAGGTCAGCAGGCAGATTTTGTTCACACCTCGGTCTTTCTTTTCTTCCTTAATCGGTTCTTTGTCTTTTTTGCAGATTCACCATTTTTTTGTTTGTTTAATTCTTCAGTTTTTAGTTTGGAAATATTCTGTATCCACACTTTGTTCTCTCTTCCTCTCTTTGTTTGGCTCTAATCTTCCATTTTTTTTATACGTAGCTCTCTCTCTTTTTGTTTTATCTTCATTTTATCCATGTTAATTTGAGTTTTCCTCCTTTTGTTTTATTGCTTTGTTGTCATTTATTTTATTTCTTATTTTCTTGCCTTTTTCTTGTTTTGTTTTTGTGTTGTCTTCATTCTAGATGTCTTTTTTTTTTATTTATCTCTTCTTCAATGTTCTGTTTCTTTCTTCTTGATGTGCGTTTCTTGTGGCGCAGGCTATCGGGAAGGCCCACCATCACCAACCAGTGGTGAGTAAACACTCGCCTGTTAGCAGTCAGTATTTAAAATGATGCCGTGTGTTATTTGGCACTGTTTGACTGTCCCCCCCCCCCCCCCCCCCCCTTGGGATGGGAGTAATTGAACCTATATTCTACATATAACTTAACCTAATGTTCTTTCAGGAAACCCAAAGGAGCTATGTTACACATGGATATTGGTGTCCAACTGCTTTCAGCCTTCATCAAAATGACAGAGGTGATGTGCTGATGAGCAGCTCTCCTCCTCTAACCTCCTCTTGTTCCTCCTCTACTTTTATTTCTCCTCTCCTACGGTACCTCCCTTTTTTCCACTTTCCCTCTCTCTCCCATCTCCTTCTACCT